GAAGGGGGAAAGAGGAGGAAGAGGGGAAGGAAAGGGGGGGGCGCCGCCCCCCTTCCCTTGTCCTATTCGGACTAGGAAGGGGAGAGGCGCGCGGCCCCCTCCTGCCTCCTTCCCTCTTCTCTCCCGAGGCCCATGTAGGCTCAATAACCCCCCGGGGGGTCCGGTAACCTCCCGGTGCTCCGGTAAAATGCCGATTTCACCCGGAACGATTCCGGTGTCCAAACATAGGCTTCCAATATATCAATCTTTATGTCTCGACCATTTCGAGATTCCTCGTCATGTCCGTGATCACATCCGGGACTCCGAACAAACTTCGGTACATCAAACCTTATAAACTCATAATAAAATTGTCATCGTAACTTTAAGCGTGCGGACCCTACGGGTTCGAGAACTATGTAGACATGACCTAGAACTATTCTCGGTCAATAACCAATAGCGGAACCTGGATGCCCATATTGGTTCCTACATATTCTACGAAGATCTTTATCGGTCAAACCGCATAACAACATATGTTGTTCCCTTTGTCATCGGTATGTTACTTGCCCGAGATTTGATCGTCGGTATCCAATACCTAGTTCAATCTCGTTACCGGCAAGTCTCTTTACTCGTTACGTAATACATCATCTCGTAACTAACTCATTAGCTACATTGCTTGCAAGGCTTATAGTGATGTGCATTACCGAGAGGGCCCAGAGATACCTCTCCGACAATCGGAGTGACAAAACCTAATCTCGAAATACGCCAACCCAACATGTACCTTCGGAGATACCTGTAGTACTCCTTTATAATCACCCAGTTACGTTGTGACGTTTGGTAGTACCCAAAGTGTTCCTCCGGTAAACGGGAGTTGCATAATCTCATAATTACAGGAACATGTATAAGTCATGAAGAAAGCAATAGCAATATACTAAACGATCAAGTGCTAGGCTAACGGAATGGGTCATGTCAATCACATCATTCTCCTAATGATGTGATCCCGTTAATCAAATGACAACACATGTCTATGGTTAGGAAACATAACCATCTTTGATTAATGAGCTAGTCAAGTAGAGACATACTAGTGACTATATGTTTGTCTATGTATTCACACATGTATTATGTTTTCGGTTAATACAATTCTAGCATGAATAATAAACATTTATCATGATATGAGGAAATAAATAATAACTTTATTATTGCCTCTAGGGCATATTTCCTTCACCGGCCGGAAGGTCTGGCGGCCGGAAGGTCCGGGGGCCGGAAGATCTGGGCGAGGTTTCGGCCTGGTTCCGGGCTAACCAGACAGTCGGCATGCCCGGGCTCGTCTGGGACGTCAGGGGCTGGAAGTTTCGGGCGGGCCGGAGGTTCTGGTGGCCGGAAGTTCCAGGCATTGGCCGGAAGCTCCGGGCTAACCAGAGAGTTGGCGCTCGTCCGATGTTCTTCATCTCTCGACTCTGTGGCTCGTTCATTGCACCTGATTACACATAGTATTTCTGACTTAGGCAGTAACCATGTCTCACTCGAAAGCAGGGGAAACTCAAGAAGGAGTGATGTCACCTTGGATTGAATAGCACGTGCACGACCTCTTTTCATGGGTCCACTTGGTGCTTGGGTAGTTGAGGTAGTGTCCTTGGGGATGACCATGGGATGCTCTGCATCAGCTCTCCAGCGATGTCTGTATGTCTTCTGTTTCCCTCGCAAGTGTTCATTTCCCTTTTCACCTGCATACCTTGATCGTTGTCTTGTGTACTCTAGGGGCGGGCCTAAGCTCGTGGCTCCAGTAGAATTCGCTGAAACTGAAGTGAGGGAGGCTTTATTTTCCATGGACTCCAATAGAGCTCTAGGTCCAGACAACATCCCGGTAGAATTCCACCCATGTTGTTGGAATATGGTGAAAGAGGATATTATGCGACTTTCTGATATTTTTCATAAAGGGGCACTTTATGTTCAGCACCTAAATTATGGAATCATCACCTTGTTGCCTAAAATTTCTTGAGCCGATAGGATTCAGCAATTTCGTCCCATTTTCCTCCTTAGATGCCCATACAAGCTCCTTACATAAGCCCTTATGGTCGTGTCGCCAAATATGCCAATAAGTTGATTAGCCCAACTCAAAATGCATTTGTGAAAAGGAGGAATATCATGGATGGGATTCTCTCCTTGCATGAATTGCTCAACTACACCCATGTCAAGAAAAAAGTAAGAGTGGTACTAACTTGATTTTGAGAAGTCATATGACAAGGTAAATTGGGACTTTCTTCTAGAATGCCACAAAATGAGAGGGTTCAACCATACGTGTTGTGAATGGATCAAAAAAATCCTTCATGATGGTACTATTAGTATTAAGCTTAATAACTGTGCGGCCCTTATTTCCAAGGTGCCAAGGGGGTGCGTCAGGGGGACGCTCTATCGCCTTTCCTGTTTAACCTTACCGCTGATTGCTTAATAAAATGATTAAAAATGCTCAAAAAATAACCTGATTGTTGGGATGGCCCCTGATCTCATCCCTAATGAGATTGCGGTGTTAATCATTTTATTAAGCAAAAGAGATACTATCTAGTCAAATGGGGCAGGATTTGTAGATCTAAAAACAAGGGAAGTTTAGGTGTAAAAGACTTGAGGAAGCAGAACAACAGTTTAATGGTGAAGTGCTGGTGGAAGTTAGATACCCAAAAGGGTATTTGGCAAGATATTATTAAAGCCAGATATCTGAAAAACTGCTCTATCGCTACCGTTAAACCCAGATTCTCTTATCCGCCCTGTTGGAAGGCCATCCTTAAGGTTAAAGACCTTTATATGATGGGGAGAAGAATACACATTGGAGCTAGTGATATCGCTAGGCTTTGGAAATACCCTATCAAGCGGCTTATTCCCCTTTGTGATAAATGCCCACAACTATTTGATATATGCAATGTATAGGACTGCACCGTCAATCGGGTGGGTGCCGTCGAAGTCTCCTCTTTCTTCAGAAGGAGGTTAACCCCTGATCTTTCTTCTCAATGGTTAAACATTAAAAAATTGATCGTGATTCTTCATCTCTCGGAGGTTGGTGGCTCGGTCTATTGGGGACTTAACAATACTGTCAAATATTCCACCAAGTCTATCTACAAATGGTTGGAAAAGCGATTAAGTGGTTGTAGCTACAAATGGATTTGGGAAGACAAGATCCCATTGAAAATCCAGATTTACTTATGGCAAGAGTTCCAGAATGCGGTGCTCACTAGGCAAGTGATGCAACGATGTAAGGGCATGTACAATGGTTCTATCTTAGCAATGCCACGTAGGATAAATGATGAGGTGGAAGAGAGAGAAATCATAAGAGAAGGCTTGTCTTCTCTTAATTAAGAAAAGACAAGAGATGATCTCTTAGCACAATATGTCTCACCACGTTTTTAGGAATAACTAATTATTGAAGATAAGACTAAAAGATGACCCATTGTAGATATGTTTTTTTGTCATCTCTAAATTACATGCAAGATTTAAGATAAGACTACCTTATCGACCATTGTACATGCCCTAAGGGCATGTACAATAGTGCTATCTTAGGAGTGCCACGTAGGATAAATGATGAGGTGGAGGAGAGAGAACTCATAAGAAAAGGCTTGTCTTCTCTTATTTAAGATAAGACAAGAGATGATCTCTTAGCACAATTTGTCTCACCATGTTTTAAGGATGACTAGTTATTGAAGATAAGGCTAAGATATAACCCATTGTAGACATACTTTTTGTCTTCTCTAAATTACATGCAAGACTTAAGATAAGACTGTCTTATCAACCATTGTACATGACCTAAGTGGCCTCGAAACCCCAACTGTTCCTTTTGTAAGGAGGTGGAATCCTCACAACACTTGTTCTTTACTTGTCCCGTCACAAGAATTGATTGAAGTGGTGATGGGGACCGACATGTGTCCTAATAATCGTTGGCAATTCTTTGCTTGGTGCAACAAGTTCCTTCCTAATGGGGATAGATTCTATATAGTCGGGTTGGCCGCGGTCACCTGGGCTATTCGGCTAGCTCGAAACCGAGCTACATTTGAGCATAAGAAGGTTAAAACTCCATTTGAGATTGTTTTTCCCACTTGTTCTTTTCTCTTGTAGTGGGCAGGTCTTCAGAAGGAGAGCGACACGGCGATCTTGCGCGGAGGCACGGAGCGGCTGCATAGCAACATGATGAACTTGATGAAGATTCGCGCGGCTGCTAAGAGCTCGATCGATGGACGGTAGAGGTGCTGCTGTGAAGTCTGTGTGTCTTCAGCTCGTCCTGTGGTGCATCTCAGTTCTGCTCTTTTCGTGCTGCTATTTTATTGTGAGACAGATTGCTGGTCTCTGGTTCTGTCCCCTGATGCTTCTCTTTTGTTAGTTGGATGTTCCTGGTGATGTACTAGGGCCTAGTTTTTACTCTGAACTTTTGGTGCTGCCAGGTTTTCGCCCCATAATGCTCGTTTCGATATCGAAAGTGGGTTTCCTTGTAGTTGCTTTGAACTCACTCACTGCCGTCCCCTTCTCCTGCTTATCAGTAAGACTCTCCGCGGCTCCGACGGCAGCCTCCGCGGTCGGTATTCAGGGTGCGCCCAAGGAACAGCAAGAGGCGTCCATGGCGATGGTAAGGCTCTTAGCTTGAAAAAAAAATCTGCCCTGGTTCATTTTCGGAGGGATTCTGACCTCCTGAATCTTGATAGTAGTCTGAAACAGTGCTGTGGCAAAACTGGATGCACTGCCATGCGAAACATCTGAGCAAATATATGCACCTCAAGAGAAGGCCAAATTTCCAGTCCATCAACAGCCAGAACAAATCTCCCGCCAACAACAGGCAAAGCCGGTCACATGTTCTGGTGATTATAACTACATGAAACTAATAAAGTACTAGTAGTATAACCATATTAGCTGGGCATGTATCTAGTTAAGACAGGTGCATCCACCTGCTGTCAGTCAGAGCCTACCTCGCCTCCTCTGACGGAGAAAACGACGATCAACTAACACCACCTCACTTCACGCTAATCCGCTCCCGATGAACACAGGCATCACACGACATCTAAAGCTACATGATGTGCATGGGAACACTCCCGCTGGCCATTCTTGAGTGCAGTCACCCCAGCAGAGACAGCAGGCTGGTCCTCTGCGCAGATATCATCTGAGCTTTTTATGTGGCTTAGCGCCCTCTTGGAGTAAACAGTAAAGGCGACCGTGAGAACAACGGCAATGACGAACGAGATTATGTTGTATGTCAGCTCAACTGGCGTCATCTTATACTTGCCATACTTCACATCGGCCAACGTGCGTATTAGCCGTCCGCTGCATAAGCATTTAGCAAGATTAGTAACTCATCAATACTTCTGGAAACCAGACGTAACTGCTCTGCACTCAACAACTCCTACAAAGACAAGCTCCTCTTTGCATCTGGATAATGAACTTGAGTAATATATTCAGGTAGGGCTAGCTCAATTCCAAAATGCATGATACCTATAAAGTGTGCAATCAAACTTCTCTATCTTAAACAGCTAACTGATAAGAAAAAACTAGTATTTGGGACTTGTTTGGTATAGAGAACAATTTCTTCACAGTTAATTTTTTTTTCTTATAATTTTACTTGCATATAGGCATACAGATTAATGGTACTTCTGGAAATCAGATTGGTGCACTCACAAACCCTGAAAAGACAAATATGTATGAGCGATTGCGTCTGTACTGTGTCCAAAAAAAACCCTGTAAAGACAAGCTTCTCTCTGTTTGGGTTGGTTACAATTCACCATCCTTATCAATATTGCTAGTCTAGAAGAAGAAAAAGAAACTTTTTCCAACTTATCAAGAGCACAAATGTATAGATTATGACGCTTGTCTACCAAATAATGCTTCATTGTTGAACTCTATTGGAAAATAATCAGTCGCCAATCCATGTACTATTTGTTAAGGGCATTAATCAATGACAGATGCACATTAGGGGGGCATATATAAACCTAGATGGCCTCAATAGTCTATGACAAAATGATACTCAATTGACCAAATCTTTATCTGTAATGTGAATATCTGTATATACCTATAGATATAGATGAATGCCTCAGGTACCATTCCGGCAACTGAACCACATAGGTAAGGATTGAACTTGATTTCTGTCACAGTTACGGCATAGTTAAAAATTGTATATGGAAATGGTGAGATTCTGAATAGTGCAACAACTCGAAACTGCTGGAACCAGTTCCCTTCGCCAGCAAGCTGTATTAGAGCTATCTGCTGAGGCCATCTCTTTAACCATGCCTGCATTAGAAAAAGGAACAAAACAGGTAAGAAGAAGAACAGTAAGGCATAGCTCCTTAGTGGAAAGATGCAAGTCTGAGAAATTTTACATGTAGACGTTTGCGGAACAATGAGCCGATCCAATATGATGCAACCATGCCAAGAGTAGTCCCAACCATAATAATCAAGAAACCCCAGCCATAACCGAAGATCATTCCTGCTAACCACATAGAAGGCCCAGAAGGGACTAAGATGAGTGGGAGGAGAGCCAGAGATGCAACGAGGACAAGAGCCAATACTGGACGGCCAAAGGCACTTGCTTCCCATTGCATAATTGGCAAAAGTACCTGCAACAAACAGAAGAATATACATAAATATTAGCTAGATGTTCTGTTTCAACAACTCAACTCAAAAAGTTCTCCAAAAAATAGAGGGAATAAGATCAAAGGGTAAACATGCACGACAGCATAGCTCAAAAACATGACACAATTGATATTTTCATAAATACAAATAAAATTTCCCTCAAAGTTCAGTATGCCACATATGCACTCACTAAGCAAATAGCATTCTAGTAATATGACACAACCAGAATATTCATGTCAATGTACTATCTAACAGTAATTCCTAACAATTACAAGCTGAACGTACATATGCTTGAGACCTAATCATATGTGACAAAAGGAAACATATAACAAACATGTTCAACAAAGACCAAAACTATTAAGTTGAATGCATCACTGGTGCTGGTTCAAGTATATTAAAGGACAGCCAAAAAATTTAAATGACCAGTGTGATAATGGCTTCAAGCTTTGTGATTGTCCCATGGAATTTATAGATGCATGCCACCTCAAAGTTCCTGATGGCAATTACTACTGAAGAGCCAACCAACAAGCCAACATCAGTTGGTTCTGGAAGGTATTCTGTGAAATTCAGTGAAAGGTAACCAGAAGAATGGAGGCCTACTGACATCCCAATGCCCTATGCCTAAAATTACAATCCAAGGAAAGAGATTTTCTTTTGCACAGAAAGTATCAGCACCTCACCTTCTCAAAGGCAAAGCGGACTCCAAATTTCACGAAGATATAAGATGCTAATACAAGAAGGAAGCAGACAAGCAGAACTTTCAGCCACCAAATGAAGTGTCTTGACATTGGTTGCTCAGGCAAAATTTCTGTGTTGTTGTCAGCTGTTGCATGTTGAGCTGGTGTCACCAGCCTCGCACATTCATCGTCCTTTATGTTTTGCTCAGAACGCTCGATTCCATTGCGTGATGCCACAGCTGAAGAGCTTGGCATGCTTACGACCGTCTCACCAGCTCTGTTTACAAGCCAAGAAATATTTTAGGAAATAAAGATACTGATACTGCACACAAAAAAATCTTACTAACATGTGTCATAGATGTAGGGTTAAGGTTGAGATGTGAAGATCCTTGTCTAAATTAGAGTTGCACAGGCCCAACACCCTGTTATTTCCTTAAAACAATAATCCGTTACACAGCTAATTTGCACACATAACTGAACTCACACTGAAATGCACTGGTTTGGGTGGCATGATGTAGTATAACAAACGGTCACTCAATCATGATTTTCAAAGTAGCATGGATGTAACATGCTAGTGTAACTAAGATTCCCAAATTGGATACATCATTAGGTTCTTCTCAAAGCAAAACTTAGTAATGTGACTCATATCTTAGTCAAATTAGGAATGGAGATATGTGCTACAAGGATTCCTAAATGAATCCTAGGCTCAGGAGACAAACACCTGTTATTTCTAAAACCATGATATTTTGCCGCAGGGAACCCAAGCAACGACCCAAAGGAAAATAAACTTAAATAATCTGAAGCCAATATCAGAATGTAACATACTCAAAGTTGCCAGAATTATTCTTGAACCTCAGTCACCTTTCTAAAACCTTGGGTCAACATCCAACCTCGCCCCACATATCAAACTAAAAGCTGCAGATGTATGTTTGTTTGTTAAAACTGCAGACTTACAATACTACAAATTTTCTGTCTAGGAGATGTACATTTTTTAAGGAAACTGAGATTTCCCGAAACTTTCGACAGACAGCCGAGAACGAGGAAAAGGATAACATAAAGCAGGCGTAAGATCGTTAGGTACTAAGAATCTGAAAAGGATCGCTCCTCTTTGCTGTCATTCCTCCTAACGCATGGGTCATGTCGAAATATGCTGGTGCACGGGATTAGGCTAGTAGTAACAGGTAGTAATCCCACGCCCACAGCTCTAATCAACGATTGGTAGGCGGCAGCGTGAAATGATCCCCATCCCGGAGCCACCGCCTAGACAGACAGAGGTGGATTGCAAGCTGCAGGAGCAGAGCAGGTGGGACGGGGGCCAGTCTACCAGAGACAAGAGAGAACCAAAAATCTCTTCCTATTTTATTATCATTTTTCTTCCAACAAACTTGGTACTAACAAAGGTCGATGGGAGTAATAATAACCAAAGAATAATAAAGCTCGGGGCACCACGCGCAAGATCGCCCCATTCCCGTCCGCCTAGAAGGCACGCGGCCTCGTGGTGGTGCTAGCTAGCAAAGTAAATCCGCGATTTGGCGTGCCTAAACCTGTACTGAAGCTTGTAACAGCAAGAGAATAACAGATTCAAAATCTCCTAACTGGAATTTGGCCGCGGCCTAACTACGTACAGTACCACCTAATCCCTGACGCCTAGAGGAGACGAACCATCCGCCGGAATCGCGCGCCCAAAAACAAAAATCCCAGCAGGAAAAATCAATAAAAGCAGCCGAAACCGCGGCGGCTGGAAGAGAGGAGAGGAGAGGTGCGCGGTCGCTACCTGGGTGCCTCCCCGGGCTCAATGTCGAGAGGGAGGACGCGCGCCATGCCGACGGCGGAGATCGATCCAGGGCTTGGCTTCTTCCTCCTCCTCCTCCCCCTTTCCGTGGTTCGTTTCTGGAAGCTCGCGGCGGAGGGGAACAATGAAAGCAGAGAGGGAGAGGGGAAAAGAGAGAGCGCGTACTTGTTGCGAAACAAAAAGCAAAAGGCAAAGAAGATGGGCGGGGCGGGCGGGGGAAAGGACCGGAGTGCCCCGCACTGGCGGCGGGTTGGTTGGCCCACGTGGACGGACGGACGAAACTGCCCCTGCCCTCGGGGAAGCGGAATATTCGCCGGGGTGCGACTCCTGTCTCTGGTGCGGCGGGTCCACCCGGGGAGCCGAGCTGCGGGGGTCCTCGTGCCGTGCCGCTCGTGAAATTGAAGCTCCCCACCACGTGACACGTACCACGCCGTGAGTCGTAACACGCCGATGAATAAGGCTGGTCATAACGGGCAGTAACATACACTAGTATCATGCATATGATACTAATATATGATACTATATTCATAATGCATGCTCAAAAATAGTATCGTCTTATTTATTGTCATGCATGACACATACTAGCGTAATATTTATTATGATACGGTATCTATCTATATGTACTATTACTCTGTCTTCTTTAATTATTTGTCATTTAAGCATATTTACGAGTCCCAAGTACATAATGAATCTGGTCCCACTATGGCTAGCCTAATGAATCTGGTTTTGACTAGTAGCTGGGACTTTTCTTTTGTCTCTAGAAATTCTTTTGCTTCTGGTAGTATCTGGTCCCGTCGTACGTTCGTCACGCCTTGGCTGCGGACTTTGAAGACGAACTATATATGCAAGAATAATAAGGTCGAGGGTTGACAACTGCAACTCGCTTCCGTGTGTTCAAAGGCACCACTAGTATATATCTCATGTCTTGGATAACATACTTTCTAATCTTCTGGTTCGATCGGTCAATAGTTTGCATTTTGCAGCAATACGGCAGATTGTTTTATTGTTTTTCTTCCCAATTGCTAAAGGCCAGTGCTATGTGCCGGTCAGCCCGCCCAATTTTCGGTCGGTCGCTCCCAGCTCGTTGGATGCCCTCTCTCGTGGTCGTCAGATCAAAGCGACACACCCAACTTTGTTGTTTTCTTACACCCCTGTTCATCCCCTGCACGTGGGCGGGTACCTGAACTCTAGCAAAAATTGGTCGCGCCCCTAAGTTGGTCGTCCACCATAACAGTGCCTCCAGCACCGTGATTGCAAGCAATCCCGGTGGCTGGCTGCCGCGACGCCGTCTTGAACCCCTTCGTAGCACGTCGACGGTTGCCGCAACTGTAACGTCGCGGGTTGCCAACACTCGTCTCTGCTGGTTCCAGCATTTAGTGGGCGTGGATGAAGCATCTGGTGGCCACGGGTCCAGCCCGTGGTGGTCATGGATGCAGCATCCGAGAGTCGTCATGGTAGCATCCGGGGACTACGGTTCCAGCAATCCGCCTACCGGTTCCATCACCTCTCGCAGTGCCATCCCCGCGCGGGTGAGAGCATCACCGTGGAGGGTTGTAGCATTTGTCGTCGCCGGTTGTAGCATTTGTCGTCGTTGCCCGCACACTGGTCGTAGCAACATGACGTGTCGATCCCATCACCGTTTTGTGCAAGTTGAAGCACGGACACGCGTCGATTGTAGCACCTCGTCGTGTTGGTTCCAACTCCACATGGCGTGGTAGCAGCAACATCGACACCAGCCAGCAGCAGTCATTGCGTGCAGGCGGTCCCCCGTTGGCTACTGCTCGTGAAGCACCGGTCAGTGCCTCATGACGACTCCAATAGCCCATGCAACAAAAGAATGATGGAAGAGGTCACGATGGAGTAGAGGTTGGAGTGCGTTGGGAGCTCGCCGAAGGAGCGGCGGGAAGCATATCCGTTGTGTGCAAGTTGGTGGGGCTAGACCAAAACCATTGGGGGAGGCGAAACGTAAATGACAAAGAGCTGGG